GCGTGCTAAAAGCCTGGGCAAATTGATCCATACGATGATCATTCTCCTCTAGCTTTCTCTCACAAGCTGCTATGTTCTGACACAATTCTGCAGGATCTATGGCCATGTCGTAATGCGGGTCTAAAGAGGAGAGCTGGGTTTAAATACCCCTCATGTGGATCCAATTGGCTGTAACTGGTTTTTGACCCCAAAGGCAATTACCAGGTTTAAATGTGCTTGATTGCTGCTCAGCACAAAACCCTCCTGTGGATTTGATTAGCCATGACCGGCCTTTGACCCCAAAAGTAATTACCAGGTTTCCATGACAGTATTGTTGCTCTGCACAACTTTTCCTGTCAGGACAGTAATGTTGCTCAGCACAACTTTTCCTGTCAGGACGGTAAATGCCATTAACCACATTTTTATATGCAGATGACATGTGACACTTTCCCAGTCACTGAGTGAAGCTCACAGGTCTATAATTTACAGGCAATGATTTTGAAGATTTTTTAATATAGGAACCACACCTGTCTTCCTCCAATCCTCCAGTATAATTCCTGTAAAAAAAAGGAATCTTGAAAGATTAACTACAAAGGTTCACTTATTTCCACACTTAGCTCCTTAAGTAGTGAATACCATCAGGCCCTGGAGAGTTAGTTACATTAACCTTGTTTAGTCGCTGTAGCACTTTGTCCTGAGTCATTCAATAACAATTTTTCTGCATTTCTCTTGCCACAGGATTCTCCATAATATATACTGAGGAAATATAGTTATTTAACATTTTTGCCCTTTCCTGGTCTTCATTAACTAAACACTCACATCTCTGTTTTCAGCGTACACTTTCATTTTATTTATTTTTTAGAATTTATGTACTTAACCCCTTAAGGACCAAACTTCTGGAATAAAAAGGAATCATGACATGCCACACGTCATGTATCTTTAAGGGGTTAAAAACAATTGGGGGGGGGGAGGGGTTGAACGGAGCCAAGCCACGGACCTGAATGGCCGCATGCAACCGAAGCTCCGGACCAAACCACCACATTAGACCCTCTAACACGGCACAAAACCCTTACAAAGTGCACCAACCAGCACCGCTAACGAGGAGTGAAAAGATGGGCTGGAAAACTAAAAAGGCCAAGCCCAATAAACCTCGGCTGAGCGGAAATATCGGAGATCTATGGCGGCAGGCCTGCAACAACACAGGCACAAACATGGCTGACTACGCCGACGACTACTCCGAAATGTCGGACAATTTCACTAGCGGGGCTGAACTACACCACTCACCCATCTTGACAGCTCCTCTCCAGACTCACCCTCAATAGACAACTCTCCTGTGACCACAGCGGTGATGAAAGAATTGCTAGCGGGGCTTCAACTCACCATACAGGCGAACATGGCCTGACAGGCCGCCAAAACACGGAGGAGACAGTGCGGCTACGCAAAGCTGTGCACGACCTGCAACAGCTGACCCACACAACAGACCAGCGATTCGCAGAACTGGAAGATCAGAGGAGAAGCCTGAACCTCAAGATCATGGGTCTCGGTGAGGAGATACCGGAGGCAGAGGTACTGCACTTCATATTGCGCCTGCTGGACGCTCTTTTACCCACAAAACAGGCCAAACAGACGACCCTGGGGGGGGGATGTTCCACCTCCCACGTCGAGCTAAAGCCCAAGCGCCGAGACCTGGTGCACTTCCTGAGCCACGGAGACAGATCAGCGGTCCTACAAGCGACCAGAACCCAGACGCCATATGTGTTTGAGGGTAGACAGCTCTCATTCTATGTGGACCTATCAGGGCCGACTGTGGCGTGGCGCCGCAGTTTGAAACCCTTCAGGGCCCTTCTTTGTCTGCATAAAATTACCTACCACTGGAGGCGACCCTGGGCGCTCTTGATCCACCATGGCGACACTGCACACAAGGTCCACGACATGCAAGGGGCCAGGGATCTCCTGCCAACCCTTGGGCTCCAACAGGACACCCTACCCATTGCGGGACCAACCCACCCGGCGGCACGGCCAGCAACAAATGACCCACCGACAGCGACACCATTCGCCCCCCAACAGGCTGGAGCAGGAACATCGACTGGCACCAGAAGTACTTAAAGCCACCTGATGCTTACCTCTTAACAGCCCTATGATTACACGGGCATGTCGTTCGGGACTCTTCTTCTTTCTCCACTGTGCTTATCTGCAAGTAGTTTAACGTCCACCTCCCCCTCCTGGGTAATGGGGTTCACTTTAAAGAGCATGTTGTTTAACAGCCCACACACCAGAAATCATGCTCCCTAGCTACGCTAGCATGGTAACAGGACCATACCTACATCACTATGTCAGTAGATCCATCAGCCTAAGAGCCCTTAGCAACGCCGGACACACCGGCTATAAGACCATGCCTACAGACTCCCAGGCTTACGAATTAACGCTGATTCCCACTACCCATGGCTACAATAAGAAAGTCTACATGTCTGTTATATAATATTACACAAGTCTATAATGATATGCATTTGTTGCCTTCTTTGTTCTCAATTCTGTAACATTTAATTTTTATGCTGAGTCAGAATTAAAGAATTTAAATTGGGGGTTGGTTTTGCTCTCTTTGGCTATCAATTTCTCATTTTCTAGTTTAGCCACACTAATTGCATTTTGTATAAATTGCTGTCTTTTAATAGAATTCCCCCAATTTGTCCAATTTATATAATTTAAATGCCCTTTTAAATCTCTTCGTTTATTTTCTCACTAAGCCAAATTGGTTTCAAGTTGTTTCTTTTATTTATTACCCAATGCTACACAGTGAGAAATGTACCAAATATTAATATATAAATATTAATTAAGATATTACATTCATCCTTAGTGTTTTTCTCACTAAATATTTTATACCAGTCAATAAGTTGTAAAGCTGCCCTTAAAATTATGTCTTAGAATACACCCATGCGCTTTTTTTTTTTAGTTTATTTCAAAAGATGACCACTATTTTCCAAGTGCTCCCCTACTTAAATGTTGGTCAAAAGATCAACAAGCACCTTTTCTAGTTGGCACTTGTTACAGTTGCGGCATGAAGGTGTCTTATAACAAATTTAAAAATCTGATTTCCCTTGCTGAATTATTAGTCCCTTTATCCCAATTTATGTTCAGGTAATTAAAATCTCCAATAATTAACGTGTTACCCAGATGTCTAGCTTTCCCAATTTGCTTTAACATCTGTTCTTCCTCATCAATACTAACATTAGGTGGCTTATAAGTTATCCCAACCAATAATTTAAGTCCCTTCTTTTGTCCAAGCAGAGATCTGCCCAGAATGTTTTTTATTACTATTACATACCTCCTGTGTTCTGATCTTGCCTTTCCCTTGTACTAAGCTAAAGCCCAACGCCTGTCCTATCTCACTTTTGTAGATTTCTATGTCCCTCTCCCCTACCACTAGTTTAAAATCTCATCCAACATTCTAGCCATCCTGCTCCCCCAGCACTGAAGACCCTCTTCCATTTAAGTGCTCTAAAAGCCAAAATCCTCTTTCCCAAACCATGACTTTAGCCATGCATTAACCGCCCTCCTTAGCCACTGCGCCTCCAGCCCTCCTCAGACACTCGGGCACTCTGCCTCCGGCCCTCCTCGGGCACTCTGCCTCCGGCCCTCCTCGGGCACTCTGCCTCCGGCCCTCCTCGGGCACTCTGCCTCCGGCCCTCCTCGGGCACTCTGCCTCCGGCCCTCCTCGGGCACTCTGCCTCCGGCCCTCCTCAGGCACTCTGCCTCCGGCCCTCCTCAGGCACTCTGCCTCCGGCCCTCCTCAGGCACTCTGCCTCCGGCCCTCCTCAGGCACTCTGCCTCCGGCCCTCCTCAGGCACTCTGCCTCCGGCCCTCCTCAGGCACTCTGCCTCCGGCCCTCCTCAGGCACTCTGCCTCCGGCCCTCCTCAGGCACTCTGCCTCCGGCCCTCCTCAGACACTCTGCCTCCGGCCCTCCTCAGGCACTCTGCCTCCGGCCCTCCTCAGGCACTCTGCCTCCGGCCCTCCTCAGACACTCAGCCTCCGGCCCTCCTCGGGCACTCTGCCTCCGGCCCTCCTCGGGCACTCTGCCTCCGGCCCTCCTCGGGCACTCTGCCTCCGGCCCTCCTCGGGCACTCTGCCTCCGGCCCTCCTCGGGCACTCTGCCTCCGGCCCTCCTCGGGCACTCTGCCTCCGGCCCTCCTCAGGCACTCTGCCTCCGGCCCTCCTCAGGCACTCTGCCTCCGGCCCTCCTCAGGCACTCTGCCTCCGGCCCTCCTCAGGCACTCTGCCTCCGGCCCTCCTCAGGCACTCTGCCTCCGGCCCTCCTCAGGCACTCTGCCTCCGGCCCTCCTCAGGCACTCTGCCTCCGGCCCTCCTCAGGCACTCTGCCTCCGGCCCTCCTCAGACACTCTGCCTCCGGCCCTCCTCAGACACTCTGCCTCCGGCCCTCCTCAGACACTCTGCCTCCGGCCCTCCTCAGACACTCAGGCACTCTGCCTCCAGCCCTCCTCAGTCACTCAGCCTCCAGCCCTCCTCAGACACTCTGCCTCCAGCCCTCCTCAGACACTCTGCCTCCAGCCCTCCTCAGACACTCAGCCTCCAGCCCTCCTCAGACACTCTGCCTCCAGCCCTCCTCAGACACTCAGACACTCGGCCTCCAGCCCTCCTCAGTCACTCTGCCTCCAGCCCTCCTCAGTCACTCAGCCTCCAGCCCTCCTCAGTCACTCAGCCTCCAGCCCTCCTCAGACACTCTGCCTCCAGCCCTCCTCAGTCACTCTGCCTCCAGCCCTCCTCAGACACTCTGCCTCCAGCCCTCCTCAGTCACTCAGACACTCTGCCTCCAGCCCTCCTCAGGCACTCTGCCTCCAGCCCTCCTCAGACACTCAGTCACTCAGGCACTCTGCCTCCAGCCCTCCTCAGGCACTCTGCCTCCCGCGCAGCATCTCGCGAGCGTTCTAGAACTACGATTCCCATCAACACCCTCACTTCCGGCGTGAGTGCTCCCTTTGCGCCTGCTCGCTGCCGGCCGGCCAACATGGCGACCCTAGCCGAGATCCTCAGGAGCGAGTTCCCGCAGCTGGACGCCGAGCTCTTCCAATACGTTACCGGTGAGACAGGGCTGTGAAGGCGCTGGGACCCGGGGCTGTAATATCGGGGGGGCAGGAGCCGCCGCCATGTGTCCTGGCTGGGTAACTGGGGTGATAATCAGGTGGCATGATGGACTGTGGGAGTCACTGATAGCATGGGGTTCATGGACACGCCGCGCAGCCCGTGCCTGCAGGAGATGTCGGGCAGCTGTCCGTGACTTGTCAGGAGGAGGAGGAGGGCCCAGGACCTGTACTCATAAATGGTCCACCCTGAGTGTCCTGACACATCATCACTCCCTCATTGTGTGTACCGGGCATGAAACGTGCGCCCAGGCACCGTGTAGCATTCAGTGTCCTTTACTGAATAGATACATTGCTCGCCCTCTCTCTGGGATTAATTCATTTCCTCCCTAGTCACATCAATGCCATGGACTGCAGGGCAGCAATTTCCTGAATTGCCCAACATCTCAGCCATTTTGCTTTTTCTAGAAAACATGATCGACCTAGCTATAAAAACTGTACATGCTGTATACCTTAGGTATTTTTATTATATTTTAATCTACCAATCTACTTCCCTAATACTTCCCTTACCCTTTGTGTCACTTTACTCCACTCCCTCTAGCATGTAAGCTCATTGAGCAGGGCCCTCAACCCCTCTGTTCCTGTGTGTCAAACTTGGCTGGTTACAGTTACATATTTGTTAGTCCACCCATTGTAAAGCGCTACGGAATTTGTTGGCGCTATATAAATATAATAATAATCATACACCAATCCACTAGAACTGGACTAGTGAAATATATAACCATTAAAACCCTTGATGAGTCTTGATGAGTGAAGGAGACTAAAAAGTATTCGTTTGTCTCTACTGATGTTCAATTGATGAAGAGCCAAACATGATCATTGAATCACTTTTCCAAGTTCATTGTAATTTGTTTTATATGTTGTTCTGTCATATGTAGTAGCAATAATTTGCATTTATCAGCTAATCTTATTTTCTTACTAGTATAAAGTTCTGGTGGATTGATAGGATTTATAGACTTTGAGTCCGATTTACACTAAGGACAAAATGTAACAAAGGTTTGATGTATATTTTTGTATTTTTCTATAAAACATATTCAATGTTGCAACATGTCCACAGAGCCCTATTATAACCCCCACACTCTTTTACCAATCAGATGTTCTTGACAGTGGGCAAGCTGACTTTGAATCTGCGCATGACTTGTTTGAAGCAGTCGGAGCTCTTCTGCAGGATGTTTCTGGAGATACCAAGGACGATGAGGACATCAGAAACATCTGTCAGAGGATGTATAGAACAATGCGCTTGTAAGTGTTAATGTTCAGACTGTGAGGAGCAGAATGTAATGTACTGGGAGGGGATGGAAAGGGATAGACATACAAGTAGAATGTGAGAGGTATGACAGCTGAGAAGTTATTTAACGGTTGCAAGAGATGAGAAGTAAGCACTTAATAAAAAAGGACTAGCGCAATGATTTCCAGAAATTGTTTTACAGAAGGTTCGATATGAGCGTTTACAATTTAGAGTACGCTTTAGATTGCTGAGATTAATATGACATGCGTGTTATTAGAAGAAACATATGCAAATGTAACATGATAGCTAATTGACATATTTTAATCAAAGTTTGTCAGTAATAATTGATTTATATCCAGTTTCTGAAAAAAAACTGTGTAATTTATGTAATCCAAAATAAACCTCTTAACTGTAATTCTTCTTGTGCTTTTGTCAGGGAAAATAATCATGTCCCCAAACAGAATCAAGTACTGCTCCAGGCCCCTATCCAGCTGAACCAGATCACTGACCAATATGGTAAGATTATACAAACCCATCCTTCCAAATACTGTTCTCTACAGTATCTTTAATAGACCCCTAAACATGTATTTAACCCTGCCTCTTCCTGTTGCACCTTTCATCTTATTGGTTAGCTACTGTCTTGCGTTTTTATGATGGCTGCACATGGATATTTGCTTTGTGATTTATTCTTATCCTGTTTCCCCCAGACTCTGTTTGGGTCAACACTCTTGATTTTTGTTTACTTATTTTACTATCTATTCATTTTAGATGTTGATCCTCAAATCCTTAATGTGTTGTTGATGAAGAAAGGGCAATCCTCGGTGAGATAATGTTTCTTCTTCATAAATACAGGATAATTTAACCACTCTGTAGGCAGAAGATGTTGTCACTCCAAGTAACTGAGCTAGATACTTTTTTTTTGGATTACGTAGGACTAGAGTGGTATATGTATATTTTACTACAGGGCTCTCTTTCTATACAGGACCAAGACTTGTCATTGTTGTAGGGTTATAAGAAAATGTAATTGTAAAATAATTAAGTGTAATCAATCTTTAAAGGACAATATAAGCACCATCATCACTACAGCACATAGTGTGAATCCTCTGGCATCGTCCCATGATAGTCCGTCAAACCGCTTATAACTGATTTAACACTTACCTTGTTCTATCAGTCAACCATGCTCCTTCTAGTCTAAACAGCTATGCTAAAGCAGAAGTTATAATGTACAGAAAATGAGCAGTAAAACATGATTGTCAGGAGTCGGGGTCTGGGATGAGCCAGAACCTGTTTGCAGGTGGACAGCACACCCTTGCGAGCAGTACTTCTTACATGACATAAGAATGGGAATGGGTCATAGAGGTCAGTTATGGCACATGGATCTTTAATAGTGAATCGGGAATAAAGATGGACAGAATTTGAGGTTTCCAGAAAGAGGCTAGGCAGTCATTGTAGATGGTAGGTCAGGGCTGGCTGCAAGGTAGCATTAACGGAAAAACAGTTCCAAGCTCAAAAAGCAATAAAATCCAAGATTGAAGGGAACAGGGCAGGAAGCTGGGGCACTAACTCAGGAGTGTGTCTTAAGCAAAACAGCACTGAATATCTGTAGCTAGCAAGTCAGAATAATAGAACATTGCTGTGGATGCGCTTTGGGGTTTTATAGGTGCAGCCTAATTACGGGGACAATCCCTTCCTGTGGGTGAAGCATCACCTGAGTGCTTAATTGCTGGTACGTGTTTCTGTAACATATCGGCACACACTTTCTTCAGAACATCAGGGAATGCTGCTGGTGTCGAAGACCCTCCTAGCCTTCATGACAATGGTGTATAGTACATAATAGTAGAAAGCATGAGAAATCCAAGTCAAATATGTGACATAGTGCTGGCAAAGTTCATTATTCAAGTTCATTAGTAAGAAAAACACTGTGTGTGTGTGTGTGTGTGTATATATATATATATATATATATATATATATATATATATAAAAAAAATATTAAACTGTACCTTAGCACACAGGCTTTAAACTTGCCAAACCTGGTGCATTACCAGGGCTTGAGTATCCATATAATCGGTCCACAAGATGGACTGAAACGTTGATCTGTTTTAAAAGTATCTGGAATAAAAGTTAATTTTTATTGAAAATCCGTGAGTGCAGCCACACTACCCGATTATTTTTATATATATATATAGCGAGGGCTTGCACTCCTGGTGTAATCCTGTGGTGCCCGGTGCTGGTCTGGCAAGGATCATGTAGACATAGCAGAAATGACCGCACTCCAAAGACTTTATAGAGATTATTAAATAAAATTTAACTTTTATTCAATCCATTTAAAAAGTCAACGTTTCAGCTCTCACATGGAGCTTTCATCAGGACAAAACATGTTTTTAACTACAAGACCGTGAGTGCTAGCCTATATCAATTTGTGTGTGTGTGCATATATATATATATATATATATATCTATCTATCTCATGGAAAAATTTTGAATTTTATGGTTTTACATACCGTGCGCAAAAATATAATCTTCAGTGAGCTAGAGTGGTGTGGGTGCCTACAA